GGAAACCGGAGCACCCGGAGGAAACCCACTCATACACAGGGACAAAATGCGAACTCAACACAGAAAGGCCCGGGAGTCGAATCAGGGACCTTCTTGGTGTGATGCAAGAGCCACCCTCTCATTCTTACACTATACTAAATTACATTATTTGAGCATACTTTCTTGTTATAGGTCCACTGTATAACTTTTCTTGTGGAGGGTCTGCAATCTTCTTGTCTCCACAGAGATGTTGTTGCTTTGTCTTAAATGTATTCATTATGCATTTACTGAATAACATGGGTTTTTATTAACTTAAAAACTTGAATTCTTACTGTGAGTGGACTTGCCTCTGCACAGATCTGACATGTAACATGGCTCCATGGTGTTCCTTGCTGTTTCCATACAGATAAATAAGTGTAATAACATACTGTGGAACATCTGAGGCAACAACTCCATGGAGAGAACCTGGCAAAGCATCCTCTACAAACAAAACCCTTTAACAATGCCTTATTTCATATTTTGACATTGAACCAAGGCTGTACCATTAACCGGATTAATCAAGGTACAGTATATTCATCAAGACTCGTTTAATCGTCAGTGATCAGCTTGAGTCTTTGTAATGTTCTCTGACAGGAAAAGTAGGTAGTTTGGAGCAGTGTTCAGACTTTGGAGGAAGAAATGTGTTTCATCTACTAGAATCTGGTATTCCCTCGTGCAAAAGTGAGATGTAATTTGCAATGTTTGGTTAGTGAAACTTTGAATGCTACATCTCACTATTTTATTGCTATGTTCTTTATTATCCATGTGCCCGATGCTGTTGTCCTTTTTCGGTTGAGTTCACATGGGCTCTCCCTTCCCTCCCCCCCTGACTCCCTCCCTCTCTGTGTGTCTCCCTCTCTGACCCCTGCTACAGTCACTAAAGTTCTGATGGGGAGCTACCTAACACTGCACTGTCTGATCAGGTGTTGTCGAGTAAGCGAGTTTGCAGGTTTGCCCTGATCTCCTGGGGTCAGCTTAATGCTATCCTTTGCTGAATCTCTCCTTGTAACCCGGTCCGGAGCTTGCCAACCGGGGGCCTCCTCTTGTGCTCTCCCTATTGATGATGGTCTCTTTTTTGGGGGGATGCTGCTGACAACATACTACAATGTACCACCATGCCAAACAGCCCACTCCTTGCTCTGGGATGTCGATCTGTGCATTACATCAGATGCTGAGAGTTGCCTTTCCACATGGATATTTATATTGTAGTCAGTCCAGTTGTTTAGTGGTTGGACAGAGCACAGAGGCGTGGGGATGGGCCGTTCAATACCACCCCTTCTGGTTTCCTTCAAGTCAGATTTCACCTTGAACAAACTAAGAGGCTGATTATCGATTAATCACTAGACATTAATGAGCTGAATTGATTGGAAAAGAGGGCAACAGTATAGATTCTTGACAGTGGGGAGGTGGGATTTTTGTATTAGTTTATCTGGACTAGCAATAGTAAAGTCAGATTAATCGCAATCAAATCAAAATTGCAAATTGAATGGACACAACTTTGAACCCTATAGATTAGATCTATACAAATATCTTCTGAAATAAACATGATTCTTGTATTAATTTGTCATTTCATAGCTCTATTTGCTCTTTTTGTTAATTATCCTGAATGCTTTTAAAATGTAAACTTTGAACAGAGTCCTACTAGTAAAACATAAATCACAGCATCACTTATTTCCCAAATCATTCACCTCTACTGAGAGTATATGCAAGTCTCCTGTAAACTGAGTGTAAATGATATTACCATTTGCCCATATCCCTTCGTATGTCTTTTACTTTATGGCTATAAATAAAGGTTGTCTGCACTGATGCTAATAGGGCAACTGTAAACATGTTACTCAGTGTTGTCATGATACCACTTCCATGTTGATTTTGTTAATAAAGAAAAGGCTTGATACTTGATATTTATTTCAGTACAAGAATAATAATAATATACAATTCTTCAGACAATATGGTGTGTAATTATAAACACAAAATAATAGTTTCTGTTGTGTTTTTATATCTATTTCTGATATAGCCTTTTTTTTTTTTTTTTTTCCCAGTATCTATGCTTGTCCAAACCAGTAGTCTGTTTTAGCATTTGTATTTGGGTATTGATATTTTGACCACCCTATCTATCCATTTGGGAGAAATGCTTTTGGGTGGAGGCCACTTGTCCTCTCTATGTCTGTAACTATGTTCACACACTCACCAAAATCTGATTATTATCAGATTTCTGGGCCTTTAAGATTATTTAAATGACATGCAAACCACGGAATCTGATGTGAGTGATCAGAGGGGCTATGATCAGAAAGAAATTAGTTGATTTTGCTACTTACATTTCATTTTAATAATCTTATAACTCAAAAAATCAGATAATAATCAGAATTAGACTGCGCATTTAATTGCAGAGATGGGTATTGGATAAATAGTTAATGCACCCCAAAGGAAAATTTAGGCCTTCATTGCTATGGACTCTCAGTAGACACTACTGAGACTGACACTAAATTGTCTTGTTTTTTCCCATAATTAAGCAGCCCTCGATACTTTTAGCATAAAGTGAATCCACTGGAAATATATCAAATATATTTTTTAAGTGTTTCATATTTGCTGAATCAAACTAGATGTGATTTCAAACTACTGAATGGCTGTGTTGAGTGAACAGTAAGTAAAGTAACAGTAACTGTTTAGATAAGATTTATCTAAGATGGACTTGGCAGGGGACAACATAACACGCTAATCCCAATTTGCATCAGTCACAACATCAGAAAAAATAAAACATTCACGTAAAACTAGCATTCTAAATGAGTCTATACAAAATGCAACAATAAAATACATAAAAACAGTTAAAGAACTAAAGACTGAGATAATGATCTCCAGCCTTTCCTAAAGGCTACATTATATAACATAATCAAATTAAACACAATTTGTTTTGATTACCCTACAATGAGCTTTTTTGTGAGTGAACTTTGATAGATGACATTTATAATTCTTCTTCACTCAGCTGTGCATTAATGTATTACCTCAAATAAGTATTAATCAAACATTTCCTCAGTAATGATTAGTGCACATTTTTGATCATTCGTCACTTCATTGCCTTTTTCATACGATTCATGTGGTCTAATACACAATAATTTTCCAGTTAGTCAGTAATTTCATCCTATTCAAGTAGCAGCCCTGCATGGTGAAATTCTATTCATGCTTCATTCTGTGCAAGAAGCTATAAAGGCATTGCAGTGCCACAGTGTTCTGCACAAAATTATAAAATAAAAAACAAATGTAATTGAGTGATTGTCCTGGTGACTAGTGGTACGTACTACTGCATGTACGGTTCCTTGCTGCTATGATTGTATTACAGTATGTTATGAACTCCAGCATTACTTCAAATACTGATTTGCTTTAGGTTTCTTGGTTAATCATTTCTGTAACTTATAGGAAATGGGAAGCAGGAAATGCCATATTGTGAAGTGATCACTGTATCACTGTAGGGGCTGGTTTACATCTATAGATTAAATCTTGCTTCTTAGTCTTACTAAATCCTTTTTGTTTAGGTTGGAACTTGGAAGTATTAGTATTTCTGGGAAAGCACATTATTTACATTTGAGCATATTCAGAAACTGCATTTCATAAAAGCACATACAAACATCTGGTATTACATAAAACACAACTGGACAGATTATGCAGCACAAACTGGAAATGGTGACCTTTTCAGTGAAATCATTTGTTATGTCATGTTATTTTCATTATTATTATTTGAGAATCCATTCAGTTTTGTGAAAATATTTTGTATACATTAGAATATATATTTATTTTATACATATTACTTTAACTGTACCCATACCTATAAATTTGACTTAAAACTAACATTGCAATGAATATAGTTTATTTTGTCTAACTGTTATTCATCCTTAACACAGGCACATTTGGTTAATTAAAAATATTTAGACAAAAAATGTAAAACCTAATTTTGACTTCTACAGTTATTGCATGACATGAGGCTTGCAAATGAAATGAAAGTACTCATCATCCCCAGTGCAGGCTCGCGCATCGTTCTCACGTTCAATCTGCTTAGATGCAGTCTTTAGCTGCGGGGGTTTGAGGAGGAGGAGGGGGTCTGCAAAACTCACTGTTTCTTATCCAATCAGCCATGAAAGCATGTGGCCTCTTTATGATAGATGTTTGTTCTGCCATATTTCTGTAGTTTGCATAACTCATCTTAACCATCCAGCAAAAAATTATGCATAGATACAGAGAAAATGTGTGCAGTTATAAATTAAAAACCTTAATAGTTCTGATACGAAATGAATCATGGTGTCACTACAGCTGTGGCTCTTAAACTTTTCAGATCTGAGCACTGTTAGTACTAACAGAACTAAACCAGGTTTATTACAGGACTTCAGCCTAAAATGGCTAAACCTGGTCTCAAGAATTACTAATACTTTTGAACACTGGCAAAGACAAAGTAAGACAAAGCACACAAATAAGTATCTGAACTACAGTAAATGAATACTAGAACTGCCACCACCAGAAACAGCCAACTTACCACCAGTGGTACCCCTACCTCAGTTTGAGAACCACTACACTACAGTATTTGACGTTTTCAAAATGTACATACTCACCAACAGTTACAAAATTCAACATAAATTCAACATAAAACAATGGTGTAGAGAACATTAAATATTTCCCTTTTTTAAGTTGACAGGGGGTGAAGGAAAAATGATGCTCTCCTGGCATCACAATATTATCCAGTAAAACCTTCAGGAGACAACCAGCCTTGAGACAACACAGACTTGAGCTATGAAGACCTCCAATGAACGACAAGCTTTAGAGTCCAGGGGGTTTGAAATTATGGACATCACAAAGAGACACAAAATATGAATCTTTGTTTTTGGTATTATACAACAAAACAATCTCGTCTTTATAATAAACCTAATTCCATGACGTCCGAAGCGTACAAAAATGCCTGATGGGAATGAGTCGTCATTGGTTAGAAGAGGGTGACTCACCTGGCCTTTTTTCGTTGCGCCCTTTCCGACCCCCGCACAGGCGCACTTTGGAGATGAGGACCAGGATCTGCTTCTGGCACAGGGACTTGTTGCTCTTGGGACAGGGCTTACGTTTGCTGGCTACCGGTCGGTTGGCGTGGTCGTCCTTGACTGCCCGTTTCTGTCTGATGAGAGAGCTGGCGAGAGCTGCCATCTTCCCCCCCTCTCACCTTTGGGAGGGGGGTGGCTTCCTTTCACAATACCCTCTTTTCTTCTTTAGTTTGGCCTTTGCTCTTACTGAAAAACTTGAATTTACAGGACCTTTTAAGAGGAGCCCTTGGAAGCGAAGAGTTGAGTGTTTAGTTGTGCAAGTGCAAGTTCACCTGCAGCCACACGGAAAAGCTCCCCTGGCTAAAGAATACAAATCACTGACACAGAAAGAACAGAAAAAGTTCTGCAGTCACATCTTCGGTTCAAAAGCAGAGCAAGGTTAGACTGACTTTAAAAAGGTAAGGACGCAGTCATCCTTCTACCCTTCCTCTCCGCTCATCTTTCACGATACAAATTCCCTCATCAACTTATACAAAATTGCAAAATACCTACTGTAGCCTACTTATCAAAGAGGAGTAGTTTAAAATAATTTACATATAAAAACACCTTTACTGAAGTTAAGTGGATTCATCTTGGGTGCTAGGAAGCTCTTAATAAACAGTTTGTCACCATTTGTGCAGTCCACGGAGGTCCAACTTTGCCTCCCATCTAAAAGCAGCGGCATGGAACGCTGAGCGGAGATCCCGAGCAGTAATCCGAACGCGTTATATCCAGATGTGGAGCGGCTGGAGCGGTGAGTGTCGGAATGTAGCCCGGCACGGAACGGAGACATGGACACACGGGGGGGAGCGATTCGTCTTTCCTGCCTTTTCTGATGGCATGCTCTTTTTTTCCCACAGTCCTTGCTGAGCCCCCCCTGCTGCCGCCGCTCCTCCCCCTCCTCTTCATCCTCCTCCTCCTCCTCCCGTCCCAAAGTCAGCGAGTGGTTGCGAGAGTATGTGTGCGCGGATTCCAGCAGCCACCATCAGTAGAGGTGACATTCATAAGCGGTAGAGAGAGAGAGAGAGGGGAGAGAGAGAGAGGGGTGGGAGCAAGAATGAGGTAAAAGAGAATAGAAACGTGGCGAGGAGGGACTGGTAAGTTCACCAAAATCACAACCCACAGATGCTACAAATTTGTTCCACTTTGGGTCAATAAGAAAGCTCTCCATCGTGTTACAGACAGTGCCCAGGGGGATGGAGACTGGAGAGAGGAGCGCTTAAGGTGCACATTGTCACACTTCAGTCCCTCTGATAGGAACATTTTCAACAGTCCCTGCCTTTTTCAAATACAGCGATGTGGATGCCCCATTTTGCCTGTGTCTTTGTACAGTTGCCATATTCCAGAAGTCAAGCAGGCAGAAAAGTGAGTGCGCTATTTTTGGGTGAAAAATCAATAAAGTGTTAGATGTGGGAAGTTGACTATGAATACGATTTCATAAACCTGATGCCATTGTGTCAAACTGCCTACATGTTTAACAAAGCAAATATAGAAATGCCGGATTGGAGGGAGTTTGGCCATAAAAATATCTAATCAGTTGTTTCATTTGTGAGTGCTGTACAAGTGCCTCGCTCGGACAGTGTGACAACATATTTAGCAAAGTGAAGTGCCTCTGGAAAGCTGGTTCAGAGCTGGACCACAGTGGACTGTAATCATGTTATATATTTTTGTATTTATAAGCACCTTTCAAAGCTCCAAAGGGCACAGTATAGAACAGCTAGTTAAAACACCAAAACCACGAAAAAAATTGATAATGGGGTCACTGATTATGTGGGGTAGGATTCTATAAAATACCATTGTCTTATTGTATGAATGTTACAAATGTTGGAGGTTTTATTCACAAATTTCATTCGCCAGTCAGAACCATATTTTAGTGGAGAACTTATTTTGTGACTCTGTAAGGTTCTTTTTTGATTTTGTATAATTGTAACATCGAGAAAAAAGAGGGAAAAATGCTTTTGTTTTTCATTTTCCTTTGCTTTTTTGTTGTGATTTGAGAGTTGAGGGCTGTATGGCTGAATGGGTGCAGCAATTACTTTTGAACTTGAACATCCTCAGTTTGTGTTCATGTCCAGGCTGTTCACTGTTGATACAGAGAGTTTACATTGGTGCATTGGTCCGTGCACGCCAGAAGTCCTACAGAGTGCTTTGTTTTTCAAATAAGAAATGAGTGATAAGTCGTAATTGTGATTAGTTTCACTTCAATAGTTTTCAGCAGAATAAAAATAGATTTGATACATTTTGAAATCATCTTACGATCAGTGCTTCCTGACCTCCACTTTGGTAACCCTTGTTTTAGATAAGGTAAGGTGAACTGTATTGATCCCTCTACTGTTAAGTCCTCTACATTTGAGCCATTTTTCAGTCACTTTATATTACAAGCAGCAGGATAACAATATTTTCATTCATCGTCATCCTTCATTTGTCTTGCAGTGACGTATTTCATATATGACATCTACAACTTTTTTTTCCCCATATATAAACATTACCGCAGAGACACAGAGTTCCTTGCGTACATTTTTCCAAATGACGTCTAACTGTCTAGTCAAGACTCCCACGCATGCAGTTGTAACCTCTGCCTCAACAACACTGCCTCTCTCACTCAACATGATTTCTTGTATGAAGCTCAAAGCAAAAATGACATTGTCCCCCTCCAAACTGCCATTTAGTGTCTGCCATCGCTGACTGCTGGCTTACACTAACCCTGACAGAAACATGAGGCTGGACAGATTGAGTTAGACAGTGAACCAATGCAGCCAACACACACTGGCTCATTCACCTGCACAATGTCTCTACAAAATAGGCTTGTTATTTAAAGAGATTTGGCCCTAGCCAAAGAGTGAGTTTCCCGTGGCAGACAGAAAAGCATGTCCCTTTAATACACAGTTCTTTTGCATTACTCAGTTTGCGATGGTAGTGCCCTGCAGACAGACATTTGTCATCTTTGCTAACTGCATTAAAGGCAGTGGTGGAACATAACAGAGTAAAAGTACTAGAACTAGGTATCTGTGCTTTATTTAAGTAGATTTTAAATGAATACTTTTACTTAACTACATTTGAGAGCCAGTTTCTGTAGTTTTTATTCAACTACATTTTTGATCTGGACTGAAAAGTAAAACTATTTTTTATGATAGTTTGAGACCTGCTGAAAAGGCTGTGGGTTTATTTTTAACGTGTTCATAGTTTGAGCAAACACATTTATACAAATAAAAACAGATGGGGATTCTAGTCTAACTCTAGATATTCAATTGTTTCCACTGAACAGAATTCAGCACAGATCTTTATCAAAACATTTGAAGCTTTATTAGAATCCAAAATCTGTGCGAAATACATTGAGTTTTTTCTCTTTAAGTACATTTTAATACTTTTACTTGAGTAGATTTTTTAACTTAAATATCAAATTTTGGTCTAAAATAGCTCAATCAAATTACTCATATTGTAACAATAATTCTCTGGTTATTTGTTTTTCATTCATTAGAGTTTGATGCAAGAATAATGGTGACATTTTCAGTAAGGACAGAAGAAAATTTTTAAAGCTTGGGTGCCCAACTTTATTATTGCAAATGAGTAAATTGAGATTTTATGTTTTAAAAACTCTATTTGTGGGAAAATGTGATGATGTGATTATTGTGTGGTGTCTGCCTCTGACATAAAGTATTTTATCGATTGCATACCTAGAAGAAAGTGCTGCTAAAACATGTTTTGAGATGAGAGCATGTTGCTTAACCCGTTTTCCATTGCTGTTTGAAAGCATGTATGTGCACCCAAAAATCCATGCATGTAAAAACTAGTATCTGTCAAACGGTTTGTAAGAGCTAGTGAAGAGAGTTTATTTCATGGTTTGAAAATCAGGTGCCGCAGCAGCATTTAAGACTTGGTATAGGGCTAAAGCTTTATGAGCCATATGAGCCACATACAACTAGATGTGCAATTTTCCCTGAACTAAGATGACTGTGTATGATCTCAATATCTACAAATGTAGGGCTGGCTAAATGCCTTCTAGTACTTTTATAACAAATTAATATTGCCATCATTTTCTTCTGAGCACTAATGTTAATCAAAATTCTAACTCTTGCACCCAGTATTTAACGTCATCATTGCGTGGTTTAAATCTGCATTATAACTGGTCTGCAGAGTGGTGAACATCTGGCCATCAGTCCGTTTTGACTCACAGTGAAATAAATCTTCTAATATTAGACGCAATCAATCCACTTTATATTTGCAGTCGCACCTCCTTCACAAGCCAATTGCCGGGGAAACCCTGCAGTGGAAGCAGCTTGAAAACGCAAGGTCACTCCCAAATGTTTTCCTAACAATGCCGAGCAAGGTCAGTGTCAGTCAGGGCGATTGATTGACAGGTGACAGGGAGGATTGGGTCTCCACGGACACCGGGCAGCCTGGAGTCGGAGGGGGTGGAGCCGAGGAAACACAGATGAGATAACACACTTTGTATCGGCAGCTAAATGTATATATTTATGACAGATTTGCTTTTGTAATAGGTCTCTGCCATCTTCAAATTCATCTCCATTCCCTCAGCTAAGAATCAATCTCCTAATGGACCCCGTATACTCGCATTGCCAAAGGTTGTTCTACTACTTCTTTATTTTTTTCTCCCACTCACAAGTACATGCCAAGTTACACCAAAAGAAAGCTAAGTGGAAATACTTTGAGACATTACAGCGTCTCAAGGTTAAGATATGTTTCCATCATTGTAATGAAATTTGATGCCAACAACTGAGGATCATTTTGAGGAGCTGTCACTTGTGTGAAATGTAACAATCCAAATATTCATTATGTCAAGATTATTAATTAGAGTGTATGATAACTTGCTTCAGCAAACGGGACAAGTCGAAGCAAGTTCAAATGACAGTAAATATTCACACTGGCAGCTATTATACACTTCCCTTTTATACTTCATATTGCATCAGGACATGTTTAAGCCGTTGCTGCTATGATCCAAATCCCCCATAATTCCAAATTACAAACACAACATAAAAAGGAAATGCTTCCATATATAGCTTTCCCTGACTCTCATTGTAAAGAGGGGATTAAATGCAGATGTTTCAGCAAAAACAATCCAGCTACCGACTGTGCATTATTGATTGGCATAGATGATGGAGGCTT